GCTCCTGCAACAAGCATTCCTTAAGGTTGGGCAGCAGTTCCAGGCACTGCAAAAGTGTCTTGGCGGTAAGATTCTGAATCTCAGCGTTCATCTGCTTGGTGCGACCCAATCCAACCGACGTAAAGTGCGAAAAGTCAAGGCGGCGAACCAGCGTGCCCAGCGCGGGATAGCGAGAGATGTGGTTGAGGGCCTTGGAGAAAATGATAGAGTGGGGGAATGTCATGTTCCGGTACAACACACTGAGGGTGGCGGCGTGCAATGTCTTTGAGGTAAGCAGACACGAGATCAGATCCACATTACGAGGGGTATATCCATTAGGAGGCACGTCCAATGCCAACATGGAGATCAGATGGTCAAGAACCTCCGGGGGAAGCCGTTCCAAAGCGGAGGTGCCTGCAGGCGGCTTCAGCTCCACTTCCACTTCTTTCACTTCCAGCACCTGCAATTTCTGCTCCTCCACTGGCGCCGGCTTGCTAGGCGGAGCGACATCGGGCGTATCCCAGGCCCAGCCGCGGGCATGCAAGTTCCCAAGGCTGCGGAGATCGCTGTAGCTCCGACTCAGACTCTTGCCACCCAGCCGGATCTGCTTCCAGCCGAGAAAACCACCGCATGGGCAGCAAAAGTCGGGCTGCATCTCAATAGGGCTGCGCTTGGTGGTCTCTTGAGGGGACTGTTCAATGTGGGTATCGACGAAGGACTGGGCAATGCCTATGACGTGTTAGTGATCTGCCATGACACCATCCTTGCGCATCCGACTGATGTACATACCATCCACGTCTTCCTTGATGGAACCGAACGACTCCCGACGGCGACTGCTGGACCGGGAGTTCTGGGAGGAGCAAGTGGAGGGGTGAGGAGAGGCGTTGCGAGAGCCTTCAGTAGGCGAGGTGTTTCCCGAGACAGCGGGAGAGTATCTAGGCTGTGGTGTCTTGTGCAAAGACAGCGGGACGGTGGTGGCGGCCGACATGATGAAGAGGGGGGAGGGCGTATGGTTTGGGGGAGGCTCTATATAGGAAAGTAGGGCCGGTCCCAATGAAAAGGGTGGTGAAGTGACGAGAAGATCAGGAGAGGCACACACACGCACACACAGGCAAAAGGACAGTGGGAGAAAAGAGGAAAAGAAGGGAAAAAACGGAAAAGCTTTTTTTTTTCTTCTTTCCCCAGATTCCACCCAAGACACCCCTGGCTGCAAAGGACGCTAGAAGATGCCAAAGAGGGGCGCTGGAGACGTAATTAAGCGTATATTCGGAGCCAAAGTGTGAAGGTTGTTTGCTGTTAGTCACAGAATCCGCGGCGGATGGAACGAGGCCGCGCCGCGAGGCGGGCACACGCTATTTGACTCCAAGAGATCCAAGCCAGCGGACAGGGTAATGATTCGCTTAGGCGGAGGGGCAGCCAGTGGACCGTGCAGTGAGCTATGCAATGTTGGTTCAACAGGGCTGCTTTTTTCTTGTGCAGATCAATTAATGGAGGGGGAGGGGAGGAAAGTAAAGGAATCAAGGAAGTTGATGTCGGTGATAAAAATACCAAGCACAGGGAGAAAGGTGAAAAAAGTAATGTGAGTAATCAAACAGTACAAAGTAGTTTAGAAGGGGAATGCAAAATGAGAGAATAGGAAGGAAAAAAAGAAAGAAAGAGAAGAAAGCGGCAAGAGACTACACGTCGACGTCAAATTTCCATTAAGTAAGGCGAACAGACCGGGATTGCCAACCAGCCAGCAGCCAACAAACAACGGTGACACTGGCCCTCTCTCTGTCTGTCTCTTGGTAATTTTTTTTCACACGGTTGTTTTGCCCGCGGAGTGGAGGCGGAAAGGGAAGCTCAGCGCAGAAAAGACAGAGAAGCCCATCCCGCCGGTGACTCGGACTAACTACTTTTTTTACTTTGTAACCAACTGACCACATGGGGCCCTCAATCCCTCCCAGCGGCGAATCCGGTTGTTCGGAAGACGCAAAGACAAAAAGAGGTACCATTCGGCTGCTCCATTCTTACTTGGTACTACTTCTTACTTTGCTGCACTGTGAGTGGCCCTCCCCGTCCATCCTTGAATCCTTTGACCGTTGATCGATCGTCTTCCGCTGCGGATTGGTTGCTTTTTCTCACACGGCCGAACTACGTACTATTTTAATCCACGTTCGGGGGCGATACCCGGGATACCACGGTAAGGTTATCAATCAACCGGTCGGAAGTTGGCAGAATGCAGAGGGTGTGGTGATTTAATTCTGTGAGATGGTGTCTCACATACTACCTACCTCTCTACTATCTGTCATCTTTCCCGGTGAGAGATGGTATTTGCAATATTGAAAAAGAAGAGAAGAATAGATTACCAGACAGATTTCCATTAGTCGACAAAAGTGATGATTCGATGGCGGATTTGCTGGCGCCATGGCCGAGTCTTGCTGGATCGGGATCACCGCCTGCATTCTATGACATAATGGAAAACCGCCGCTGGTGGCCCCGTGACCTGCCCGACGGGGCGGGATCTTCTCGAGGCCGAGTCCGCACTCCTCCGACCATCGGGACTTTCCTCCCTACTGGCACTAGTGAGCTATCCATTATTCAGTCCAGTACGCCATAGTAGGTGGGATGAGAGACACAGCCATTCTCGTAAGAGTAATTCGTTGCGTGTCATCTTCATTTCCCATGAACCCCCAAGACAGTCATCCCCTATAGTAATTAACAGATATAGTTTCGTTCTCAAAAGTATGTCGCCATCTACCCCAGACCTGCACGCACCCCTGATGCAATATTCCTTACCTAACAATTACTACACGCCCGCCCTTCATTTGCTCCGGGCGGGATCCCGTGATCCTGCGGAGAGCGCTAGTCCTGTCACTCCTTCTTCCTCCCCCCTTCTCCTCTTTTCATTATTCGTCATCCACGACCTTTTTCTCTTTGACCCAGAGGTCAGGAGAACTCAATCCCTGACAGTCTTCTCCTCTTTCAAGGAGATATTGATGAACCCAGGCCACATGTCCAAGTTACGGCCGAGTCATTGACTCTCCTTCCGAATCAAACTGACTCAGCTCATTGAAAGCATGGTCAATACACTAGTTGTTCTCGTATAGGGGTCATGACTCCCGGTTGACTGACAACATCACCCCATCCTAGTCCGAACTTTTGATGATTGTGGGGTAGCTGCACAAAGAGGAACTAGCGGTAGGGAGCTACTAGCTAGGTTACCAGGCCCCAGGGGGGGGATGAACTATGTAGCACCCCCTGATTGGTAGGCTGATCTTAGTACTTCTTAGATCGCATGGATGATCTGACACGATACCGAAATCCACGAACGGGCATTGGTTTGTGAGAAGTACAATTCATCTCCCGAAACAGCCAAGTCTTCTACTCGACGATCACCTCACTCATCATGCAGCAACCCATTGCTTGAAGTTGCTGACCGGGTTGATCAATCCAAGATACAGAAGGCAGATAGTAATTCAGACGAAGTATCTTCTCTCGATGTCGTCTTATGAAGTCCTTCGTGCAACAAGGCTTACACCCTGCATCCTTACGCAGGCAGTACAGCATGTTCTACCACACCGGAAAATACCCCGCATATCTCCAGACAGGGATCGTCCGGGTGGGTGTGCTGACTCCTCAGGCCATCATTGGTAGTTAGCTGTATACTGATTGAAAGTCATGGAACACCAATGTGACCAGACTACGACCAGACTTCCTGTCTACTTGAAACGGTTGCACATATGATGTCGTTAGAATGTGGTGTCGCCAAATAATAACATCAGTCAGCGGAATGGTTGGCGTCGGAAGTCAAGAATGTAAGCGATGAATCACCTGGACTTACCCAGATGAGGTGCTCAACACTAAGACCAGACAATGAAAGGGGATCTTGGCCAGCATAATACAGCTTGAGTCCGAATATCCGGTCTATCCCACTTCCTGAACATGCTGAGCGACACGCCAGGTAACAACTATTACCAAACACTACTAATAGTCCCCCATAGCAGGCCATCCCCGTCTTGGCTTCCCCTTGCAGTCCGTCGGAAGTTGACACCGACACCTTGCCCATGCCTTGGTCATCATCGCAACCACCCTTACCCCATGTCGTGCTGGGTTGGTCAAATTCGTAATCCATCACGTAAAATATTCTGCCTTCTGCATTGAAACATCTTAACCGGCATTTACACTCGTGAAATAGATAGATCGAAAGTTGCTGGCTATACTAATTACCGACGACCCAGCCCGCCAAGTCAGGGATCCCCAGCTAAACCCATCTATCCAACCGGCGGCGTGGCTAGCCGAACTCCCCCAAGCGAGCTCGCATTCCCCACCCTCTATTGGTCTGGGCCTCTCATAGTCGGGCTTCTGTGTTCCAGTCTCAAGCCCAGTACAATAAACTGACAGAACCAACTGACTCGCTTCTATCGGTCGGTTCCTGGTTATAACCAAGAACCTAATCACTAATTAATTTAATTAACAACTAGGTGACAGGTTAGCTTGTTAGTAATCAGCACAGATGCCGGAAACATCAATGTCAAGGTCACTGCAACCCAAGGTACCTACAAGATGGCAAGTCGGAAAAGTACTATGGTTACAATCATGTACAGCATCATTACCGGGTAAATACCCGCGGATACCTGGATCACGAGACATGTTAGGGACCCGGGTCGCTCACGCCAGCATGACACCACTTGACACCTGCGCACGCAAGCAGCAGCACATAGTTCGGTCGGACGATTTGATCCGTGGGTTAGTGCGTTGAACAATACGATGGCAGCTGGGTGGGGACTAGGAGTTACTACAATGACTGATGTGGCGGGATTCTAAACGTATTATTGTAAGGCTGAGTGAGGGTGGGGAGGGGAGATGGCATCCACTGGATTAAGGGTAGGACTGCTTTTGGAATTATATGATAAAAGTCAAGTTATGTATGGGAGATGTACGAATACGAGGCACCAATGCCAATTGGGTCTGGTGAGTAGAATTATTTTATGGGTCATAGTGATGGGAATTATGTGGGTTAAATGATACTCCAATATGAACAATAATTTGGAATGTAGTAATTATTAGAATTGACCGCTTCAGGAATGACTGAATGCTACTGGATGGTTCTATGCGTGCTGAATTGTCTTCCCTTATTGGCCAATTCCGAGGTTGCTTCGTTGTTTTTCTTGTCGCTCTTGCTATTCATGCATTACAGGGGCCTAGTCTTCTTGGTGCTCAGCATCACTCTTCACATCATCACTAACCTGTTCTATTCTGAACTGTCAATGCAGCAGACACGATGTCTGCCAGAAAACTTATTGTTCTCCATGCACTATCATCATTCTCTAAATAGAGTATGTAAATTAACACTTAACTGGGTGGCTTTTTCATGCCTGCATGCGCTCTTCTACTGTCTTTTCATATTGCGGGCGGTGGTCGCTAGAGCTCTTGATACAATGGCTCCTTGCGAAGTATCACATAGTAACTCTTTCATTGATTCCAGCAATCTTGTTATGGGACTCCATCAAACTACTTAGGCTGTCCGACAGGAATGAGTTTACCCTGCAGAAGGTGGCAAGATGCTCTTGTATACTGAAATTCCGATCGTGTTCGTGTCTCGAGGACCCTGGTCTTTCGTTCAGATAACTGCAGATGGGTCCCTGTATCGGTGAAGAGCCTTCCTTCTGGACGAATTTGATGAGTGTACGATGGGACGTTGTCTGTCCAGGATCAATGCCTTCCCAGAGCACGTGATGCTACAACGAGGACTATTAGGACTCACGTCTGAGCGATCTTGGCTTCGCGCAACCGACTTTCTCTCGGAGTTGTTATGACAGCGGCATACTTTGATAGACAGCCTGCCAAAGCTTTGCCTTGACCTTTGATCCATAAGTCTACATCCTTAAGAGTATTGATCCACTGTTGTCATGGTGGAGGATACAAGGTTGATGCGAACCGCCACAAAATGAGGCTGTGCTAGCTAAAGGCAAGCGGGCACATCCTTGTCCTTCAGCCTCACCAACTCATCAAGCGACCGCCAGAACGATTGCTGACTGACTTGGCCGATGAGGCTGGCTGCCCTTGAAGTCTTCACGCATTGCTTCCGACTCCATTATTCCACTGAACGGATAAAGAGCACTATTCACGTTCAAGACGAAATATCTGGGCCAACTTGCACTATGCGTCTGCTAAGCACATGCTTATCTGACACCGGGGACTTCGTAATCCAGGAATTCTTCGATTATGAATTACCGCCCTACGCGATTTTGTCACATACCTGGGGCGAAGAGGAAGTCACTTTCCAGGAAATCAACACAGTCAGCGCGAAGGAGAAGAGCGGATACAAGAAAATCATACAGTGCTGCTCGGTAGCAAGGACAGATGGGCATAAGTATGTCTGGATCGATACATGCTGCATTGACAAGACGAGCAGCGCGGAGTTGTCGGAGGCAATCAACTCCATGTATCTGTGGTACCAAAAGTCTGACTTATGCTACGCCATTCTTGCGGACGTACAATCTGAAGATGAAATCTACAAGAGTAGATGGCTTACTCGAGGTTGGACCCTTCAGGAGCTGATTGCTCCATCAAGGTTGATGTTTCTGAATGAGAGATGGGAAGTTCTGGGAGATAGAGCAACTCTCCGAGACAGATTGTCTGAATACACTGGAATTCCTGCTGGCATTCTTTCCGGAGAAGAAGACCTTGAAACGTCTAGCGTCGCACAGAGGATGTCATGGGCTGCGAACCGACAGACGCGGAGAGTGGAAGACCGTGCTTATTCCCTCATGGGCATATTCAACGTCAACATGCCGCTAATCTACGGGGAGGGCGAGAATGCGTTCATCAGACTTCAGGAGGAAATCATGCGCATTTCAGACGATCAGAGTCTTTTTGCATGGGCGTCTTCAGATGATCGCGGCGGGCTTCTCGCCACCTCTCCTGCCGCATTCGCCCATTCCCACAACATTGTACGATTCAATCCTTTTAACAGTCTTGACAGCCCTTTCACTGTCGATAGTAGAGGGGTGCATTTAGACATTGGCTTCGCAGGAATATCAGGCGACGGCCTAGGTCTCGCAATCCTTAATTGCAAGGAAAGAACCTGCACACAAGGAACCCAGCAAGATAAGGTGATAGCCATCTACTTGAAGGATCTGGATTTTACTATGAGTCAATTCAAGAGGGTTCATAGCGAATCTTTCCGACTTATCAATCTTGAAACCTTTCGACCGGTTCAATATCCTGTGAGAAGGATTTGTGTCCGAGGGGGTCGCACGATGCTCATGCGCAAGCGAGTCGCCGCCAAACAAGACGACATTTCCCCAGAGAGTATCCATCTTTATGACGAGGTCAAAGTGCCGACCCATTACATCGACCCAGCAGCATTATTGGTGGCCACGGAAGCAGGAAATCAAGGTGGTGTATGGTTGCTGTTGACTCGAAGTAATATCGGGATAGAGGCAAAAATTCTGAATGGTCAGACACCTCTATCACTGGCCGCAGAGAATGGACAGGAAGGCATCGGTCGTATGCTTCTCGAGAGAGGCGCCTCAATTGAGACCATGAATTTAGACAGTCATACACCGCTATCATTAGCTGCAGCGAATGGGCACGGACGTATTGTCCAGATGCTTCTTGAGAGAGGTGCCGCAACTGAGCCTGATAATCCGAATGGTCAGACACCACTATCCTTAGCTGTAGAAAATGGACATGAAGACATTGTTCAGATGCTTCTAGATAGAGGCGCTGCAATTATAACCAAGGGTCAGCGGGGCAAGAAAACACCGCTGGCACTGGCTGCAGCAAAGGGATATGGAGGCATTGTTCAGATGCTTCTAGAGAAAGGCGTTGAAACTGTAACCAAGGATCTGTTGTGGAGCAAGGAAACACCGGCGGCACTGTATGCAGCAAAGGGACATGGACGCATTGTCCGGAAACTCCTTGAGAGAGCAGGTGCAAAGGAAGCTAATGACATGTGGCTTTATAGACCACTCCTCGAGGCTACACAGAATGGGCATGAAGATATTGCCAAAATGCTTTCTGACGCCAAATTCAAGATTAAACATTCGATGCTTGGGTGAACACCGCTATATGGCTTCAGCGAATGGACTTGAGGTATGGTCAAGATGCTGTTGGGGTAGAAGCGTGAAAACTGAAAATGGAGATCAATTGGGTCGGCGGTTAGTGATGCCCGGATAGGCTTATAATTGTTAACATGCTTCATCCCACGAGCAACTGGCTTTTTGTCAATTGTGGCTCATTCACTGTCATGCTGTAGAAGGCCTGTACTATATCAAGTTCTTGGAGACTGTTAGATTTGCTACCAACGTGTGATGCTAAGAGGACGATCCATAACTGTTACATTCCGGGAAATCTGCCGTTCCTTTTCTTGCGTGTTAGACAACTGCAGCCAGCTCTCGTTCCAGTCCTCAACACCGATGAAGCGCAGGAGCTGCAGGCTGCACTCTCCCGCCTATCAAAAAGAGTTTCCCTCCAGAAGGCCATCCACCTCTTCAAAAGCCGACAAATCAAGAGAACTACATTAGTCAGTTACTTAGCCGGAGATAAATGGCCACAGTCCGGAAAATAGCAGCCGAGACGGACCAAACGTGCAATTGCCGACAGTCTTGAATCTAATTTCCAATCCATCTGGTACGATTTATCATCGGCGAGATGTCGGAGATACGACCATGTGGTAACATCTCCGGAGACGTTGCATTGAACAGCTCCGGATCCGGACTTCAAAGTACTTAGGTCCGGAGATACGGGGTGTCATCGCCGAGCCCGATCGTCGGCGGATCCGAGACCGCTTTGAACAACAAAGCAGGCTGACATGGGTGGAAACATTGCCTCATCTTGTCGGGGAGATCCGACTTATCCGAGAATACCCGTGCGGATACAACGGAATATACATTTGTGCAGGTCGATCTAGCGTACTTGTCAAGCAATCCAGTCTTCATGTAGCTCCCGGTTCTGACCAAATCCCGACAATCTATTGCTAGCGGGCTCTAGTGGTTAGGTACGCTAATCGATCGACCGTTTTGTCTTCAGTAGTAACATGATTGATCATTCACTGAAGGATACCTAGATCCAATATATATCCGAAATACTTGATCCATACATACATAAGAAAAGAAGAAAGATACACTACCAGAACTAATTATACGACGAATTATCATGGACCTGGGATCTCAATGGCAGACACTCTCAGATATAGAAGTACAAATCAAACTGAATTGTTCAGATGAATGAAGAATCATGAGGCCTTGTAATACGTTTATATAGTTACTGCCTACAATCTTGACTCCCTTCAATAGACTTATTTACTTTGACTCATTCTCATAACCGGCGTATTGAATTACTCATAATCCAGGCAAATATCAAAGCTTGTCTCTGTCTAAAAGCTAAACTTCACCCCATATCCTCACTCCTAATCAAATCACAATCCCATATCAATTTCTTATTGCCCCTTATGAAGAAATTGTTTCCCCCAGAGACACAACTCACACCAAACCAACCTCCCCCGGCGCACCAACACCCTCCGCAATCAACGAATACCCCTGCACCCTATGCAGCTTGGCATAAACCGACAACGCAGAACGCAAAACCAAACACATAGCCTTACCAGGATATACCCTATCAAGCTCCAGACCCGCATAGCAAGGAAGTTTCCCCATCCACGCCTTCAACTGCCCCATCTCCTCAGTAGTCAACCCCTCCGTAACACTCACACTAAACAACACAGTGCACACCGGTGCAATAGTACCCGGATCAACAGTCCCAGATCCACTAAGCGGTAAAACAACGGACCCAACACCGACCAGCAACGCATGTGTAGGACGGAGTTTATCCCTCTTTTCATGGGACTTTAACGTTTGGAAGACGTCAGAAAACTCTATATATGCGTGTCCGCTCCGCTGTCTGCGAGAGATTTCCTCTGCGAGCTTAGCGGTGAATGTATTCTCGGGTGAGATCCTGTTCCGGGGTGTTTGGGTGCTTGTTGCTGCTAGTACCTCTACTACCCTGTTTGGGATGGTTGGGGCCCGAGTTGGTATATTCCCAAGAAAGCAATGATCGAGAATGAGTAGTGTGTCTAGATGGGCTGTCTTGATGTCTTTCAGCAGATAGGTGTCTGCGTTGATAGTCTTCTCGGAAGTAGCGGTAGCGGTTTCAGCAAAGGTAAGTTGTCCGTTCTTTGTATAAGCGTGTCCTGCGTAGTGGAGAATCAATAGGTTATGGTCATTTTCATGTTTAGTTCTGGGTTTGGATTTGGCGATAATGTCATGAATGGCTTTTTGAAATGGGATATTGGGGTTTGGGTGGCTGTGGCGGATGATGTGCTCGATGGCTGGTGGGAGGTTTAGGGTTTGGAGGATGTTTTGGAAATATGGGGTGACTTTGTGGGCTTTTGTGTCGTCTTTTTCCCAGCGTATTGTTATTGCGGTGATGGTTGTGTACGTGTGGATTTGGTGGGTTGTTGCTGCTTGGAGGGTGTTTTGGAATGCGGTGGAGCTGATTGGGGACATTTTGTGATGTGTTCAAACCTCGCAGCTTGGGTGTGGTCCTAAGGTAGGATAGTAAGTGTATAGAGTAGGAGTGGATGGGTCGGTGGGGGTTTGATGGAGGTAGCTGCAGGGGTATCGAAGTAGGTATGGGGTTGCTCGGTGGTTACTTTCAGAGTAGATAGAAAGTGACTATTGGGAAGACAGGCAAAATAAGTAAAGGAGGAGTAAGAAGGGAAGTGAAAAAGCTAGAGAGAAGATTCTGCATATTGAAAGTAACAAAAATCTTTCCTAAT